GGCTTGTTTTACAACGTCGTTGCCAAGCGACGAAAACCCAACCCCGATGGCAAACACCGGGGGGGGGGACTGGGGGTAAATAAACACCAGGGCTTTTTATTTCTTTTCATGCCCCACCTTCCTCCTGCGGTGCGTGCTGAATATTATTTTTATCGCGAAAAGGGTCCAGCCGTCCCTTTCCCTCGTCAACGGTACTACCGTCGAAGTTTGATACTCACGTAGCTTCTCGGCTATACTTTGTTTTCACCCGCATATTTCGTAAAATTTTCATCCCATGGGGATTCGAACTCTCGACCTTTGCGACTAGCGGATTACGATGATATTGCTAGACCACCGGGGCGACCGGCCAAACCGTCTGATATTTCCAACGCTTGATCTGTAGACCACAGGTGATCTAGACCATGATCTATCCTAGTTGCGGTTTATTTTACAATAACAATCGTTCCCATCTCTTTACCCAGTACTTTCATTTTGCTAACGCTTGACGCGGTCAGTTCACAGGCTAGCTTACCCAAAGACAGGATACTAAAATACAAATGGACCCCCGAAGGTTCCGAATTTAAGCAGAGAGAGAAAAAACGAGCACACGCCAGAACCACTACCGTGGCAACAAGACAAATCAAAACGAAAAGGGCCAGCAGAGACAGCAAAGGCATCGCTCGTGGGGAGTTGGTACAGTGGTATAGTGACTGGTTTGCTTTCTTCCCTCGCCGTCTCATCCGCCTGGTTCCCCCCTCCCGCCGCCTTGGTTGTTGCCATGTCCGTGCTGTTGCGGGGCTTTTTTTTCGTTTGAGGGCTCGTTGCCGAATAGGTACCTCTTCATCCTCGTGCCAGGAGGTCATGGACCTTCCCTGCAGTACCCCCGTATGGCACGGACACCCCGCTCCACCTTCGCTGCTTCCGTCCAAGTTGTTTACGGGACTCCGAAGACACATGGCCCGGCTGCGGGGCTTTTTGTTCCGTTTGAGGGCCCGTTGCCGAATAGCCACCTCGTCATCCTTGTGCCAGGAGGTGATGGGCCTTGTACCTCCCTGCAGTACCCCCGTATGGCACGGACACCCCGCTCCACCTTCGCTGCTTCCGTCGGAGTTGTTAACGGGACTCCGAAGACACATGGCCCGGCGTCCCCATGCATGGATCCGTGCTTTGCCTCGAAGATATTGAGGTCGTCCTTCAGGCATGTCTGCCAGTCTTGCTCCGGTTTCCCCTGCCTGGGCCCTCCCCCCCGCTCCAGCTCGCCAAGCGTCAATCGTTTCGGAAGTGGCCCGTCTGGTTGCCTTGCCAATGCTCCCGCGAACAGCAGGCGCCGTTGCCGAACAGTTGCTTCCAAGCCCTGGCACCCTCTTCAGGGTCTGGGCATAGGAAAGTTGCCGGCAGGTTCCCTCCTTGCATTGGTAACCGATACCTCGAAGAGCAGCCTGTGATGTATCCCATCGCAACAGCCGGTAGTGTTTGCGACGTTGGGCCCGTGTGATGCAACCCGTACAGCAGTGCCTCCGTCGCCTCGTCCTGGAGCAGGCGAGTCTTGAGTCGGAAAGGTGCTCTCGGCCTGTCGAAGAGCTCCCGGCCATATCTCCTGACACACGCCAACGCCATTCTGCTACGGTAGTTTTTCTCCAGGGTGAGGTCGCCTTGTTCGTTGACGAGGCCACCTAGGTACCAGAACTCAGCCGTACCTCAACCCTGCTGCTTCGATGATGAACGGTGGCGTCGGGGGGAGCCGTGGTGTTGGCTGCTTCTCCTTGCCGCGCATCACGAGCATCTCTGTCTTCTTCTCCGATACGGTCAGCCCGAACTCCCCGAACACCTCCACGATGACGGCCATCATTTGAACCGTAGTGGAGACAGCACACACACCCTTGTCGTGGGCCTTGTGTGACCCAGAACCAGTCCGAAAACTCTCCGTCGTCCATGCGTATCCGGGCTCGTATGCCATCGTGGAAATGGCGGATGACGGCGATCATCTCCTCAGGCATCCCGGCCCTGGCCAGCACGTTCCACAGCAGCTCTTGATCCAGCGAGTCATACGCCGTCTTCAGGTCACATGTAGAGCGGTATTTTCCTTCTCCGCCCCAGCTCCTGGAGTCAGCGCATGACGAACAGCATGTCGATGGTGGGTTGCCTAGGTCGTAACCCGCACTGCTCCTTCCGGAGGATGTCGTTGGCTTCTCAGAAGGTGCCTAGGCGGTTGGTGATGATCTTGACGGGAGCTTGCCTACGCGAGACAGCAGCGAGATCCCCCTGTAGTTGTTGGAGTTGCACCGGTTATCCTTCTTGTCCAACACCCTTGATGGTTGCGTCCTTCCACTCTTGGTAGATCTCTCCTCCGTTCCACACCTCAACAAGGATAGCATGGATGTGCTCCAGGACGATGGGTTCGTCGTAGTCGTCGATCTTGAGCAACTCGGGCATGGAGGGAATCATTGCCGGGTGGGTGCCTTCCAGTTCTGCAGGCCTGTCGTTGCCCGTTCCACCTCCTCGAGGTCTAGCGCCATGGGAATACACGGGCGTGATGAGCTGAACGAGAATGGTCGCCTACTGGTGATCTTCACAACGGAGAACAAGCTAGCACTCACGAATACCTTCTTTGAGACGTGCAAGGGGGGAATATGGCACACATACAACAACGGTGTCGGGGAGCGACCGCAGGCGAATCGACTACTATATTCTAACACGACGGGCACACAACGGCCGAGTGTCTATGATGTGGTTGCCATCCGCCAGCCGGAAAACCCAGTCAAGGCGGACTCAAACCACAACATGGTGATGGACACCGTCAAGCCTCGGTGGCAGGCCTGCCCACAACCGAGCAGTCCGGACCAAACTGGTAAAGTACTATACTGAGTACTGGTAGAGGACGGAACGACTTTAGTTTTGAATCTGTGAACACAAAATCAATGTGCCATCAAGCGCGCGAGTCCAATGAGAGACAGTAGCCTTTGCTCCCGCCGTATCAACGAGCACCCTGCTACTCGACTGTTGCTGTTTGAAACCACCCCGGGTGTTCCATGCCGATTTTGGAGGGATGTTTGCGAAGGGGGTTCTGCATGCCGCAAGATATCGACCGAGTAAGCACCACGGCCATGCCAAGAGGGATGAGACCAAAACAACGCCCCCTCCCCTTCCGATGAAGACGCCAAGTTCAAATGTAATTGCGGCTCCGAGTGCGAAGACCGTGTTGCGGAATGTCGGCTGTACAAGGAGAAGGAAACGTACATGACCGAGCTGAGAAAAGTAAAAGAAAAGTACAGGGAGATTTTTGAGGCATGGGATAGCCAGGAGAAGACGTCAGCTGTACTGGGGCATAGGAAGTGGGTTGAAGAGGCGGGAAGTGATGTCGGTAGGATAGATGGACTTGGGACGACATTTTTGAGCCACCTTTGGCAAAAAAGGAATGAAGGATTGACCATCGGCGATCGGTCCTGTGGGGACAACGCTCCGTCTTGTTGAGGACGCGTGGTCAATGGTCTAACCGCTAAGGCATGCAAAACATAAGAGTACGCCCCC